TCTCCAGCTCCATTTCTGTCACTGAGTCCATGTTTTCCAACTACTGAATCTTCCTCTTTGTTCCTGACTTTTGCATTCCAGTCACCCATTATTATCAATGCATCTTGGTTGCATGTTCGATCAATCTCCGATTCTAAAAGTTGGTAAAAATCTTACATGGCATTTTTTATTTTGTGCATCTGACTACCTGTATCCACGTGGACTGCCCAACTCCTCGTGACCCTGGGGGACAGAGCTGCCCTTGGGGTGTCCAGGGCTGTGAGTCTTCACAGGAACTGACTGCCACACCTTTCTCCCTTGGAGCAGTTGGTTGCTTCAACCCACTAACCTTAAGATTCTCAGTCAAGTGTTTTAACCACTATGCTACCAAGGCTCTTATATCTACACAACGTCATTTAACACATTTCCTTGGTCCCAGTATCTTCTTTTTTTTAAAATTAATTTTAATTTTATTATTATTTTTGTGTGTGTACCGTCAAATGATCTGACTGGTACAGGAGGAGATTGTCCCTACTTCTTCAGCAGAGCATCTGGTGGATTTGAACCATGTGCCTCTGGGATTGCAGTGCGGCTTCTTGCCACTAGGCCACCAGAGCTTGCCTGGTCCCAGTATCTTCTTTAAACTGGTAATTAGATCCAGAGGGTGGATGCATTTCAAGTTCAGGGTTTGTTTGTTTTTTTAGCAAGAAGAACACATCAGGGTTTGTACCGGCTGCAGTGTGACATCAGGACTCACACAATGTCTGGTTCGTCCCTCCTCCACTCGCCTGCACATTTGAACCACCTGGGCATCTTGGAGGAGTCCAGGCTGCATGCCAGCCCATTAGGTCACAGACCGAGGCTGGGACTCCGGCGTTACCACCTGAAGGGCCCTGGCTGATTCTCATACAGAGAAGCTGGCAACTGTTGGTCCATTTCACCTGCTCTTCATGATGCATGGGGTCAGCGGGTCTAGGGGATACAGGTCAGCATGTCCAGGGGATACAGGTCAGCATGTCCAGGGGATACAGGTCAGCGGGTCCAGCCCGCACCATGCCGGAAGGCCCTTATCCACCTTTTGCTTAATGCCACTACCCGCATGTGGCCTCGGTCCACTTTCCTGATGGGCTGTAAAGTGGTAATTTGAAAAAAAACCATTGTCTCCTTCCTTCTGCATTTATCTGTATTGTCCTTAAATAGATTTTTCCTCTTTTGAGTGATTAAAACCAAATCCCACTGCCCGGGAGTCTGTTCCAATTCATGTGACCCTCCAGCTGTAAATCCTTCTATTAGAATTAGCCTGCTGGACAACATGTCCAGCGTGTAAGAGAAAGCCTCACCATCCTTGTCTCTGAAGAGCCCCCATCTCACTTCCTCCAGGATAGACTTGTTTGTTCTGTTGGCAGTCCACGGGCTAGTCAGTACTCTTCCCCAGCACTATAATTCAAAGTCACTGATGCTTTTGTCATTTGAATTCACTGCCCAACGTTCAGCTGCATGGGAGGCAAGTTGTGTGTTAGCCTGCCCTAATCTCACACGGCTATAAATCGTCTTGTGCTTCTTGGGTTCCCTCCCTCCCAGACAGTGTGTACACCGGCGAGATTTCCCAGGAATATGTGGAGAACTTCCTCATTTTATCCTTCAGTTCTGTTGTTTTCTGCTTTGTGACTAGACCGTAGTTTATTTATCTAGTTCTCTATTTATAGACATTTAGGTTTGCCCCAGATTTCCACAGTCTTTCGTGTGATGATTTTATTAGTCATTTTTCTCTTGTTGATGGGCTCCATTAGCTCTCACTGTCTAACAATAGTAGCACCAATTTAGCAGCTGCAAACATCACACATTTATCATCTGGCGGCTTCTGTGTACAGCATAACCATGTCTTCAGCTCAGGGTCTGACAATGCTACAGCCACAGCGTCACCAGCACTGGGGCCTCAGCCTGAACGAGCCCTGTGTGAACTCCCAGGTTGTTGAGAATTCACAGCCTGGTTGCTGCAGGGCCCAGGTGTCACTTGCTGGCCGGAGGCTGCCCTCGGCATAAAGGTCACCTGCAATTCTTGATCCATATGAGATTGGCAGCTTGCCTTGTCAGGGTCAAAGAAGGAAAGCAGACAGACAGACAAACCCGAGACTCCAGGGGAAGAGGCTCCACGTCTCAGCTTGCACACACAACACACGTACCACCTTTATCATATCTCGTGGGTCAGAGCACGTTCAGTGGGTCAGAGGATGTCCCAGGTCCTGCCCCTCCTCAAGGCCATGGGAGCTTGCTTTTAGCATTCCAATCTCATTCTTACATTGTCTTGAGATCTTTAAATAAGTCTTTGCATTTTAACCATATGTTTGTGTAGAGTTGAGGGAGACGCCCTTCTTTAAGGCCTAGGGAGGTGATGCTTCTGTGCCATCCAGAAATCTAGGTGCTCCGTAGGTTAGGTGGTGGGTCATGGGCGTTTCTCTGCTCATAAGAATTGCCAAGAGATGGTGAAATAATGAGAGCTCAGGGGCAGGGACCAGGGCGTCAGAAATGCTGTAGTTACCAGCGGGAGCGAGGTATTAGTACCTGAAAGCCTGAAGGTGATTTCCGCCAACTTCCCGCAGACACAGACTGTTCGGTCAGTTTGCTCTTCTTTCCTCAGTCTGATCCAGGGGGCCAGGGAATCTTTGGGTGCAGGACACAGTGCCAGCTGTTGGAGGGAGAGAGAAGAAATGAGTCGCTACATACAGCCCCTTCGAGCTTGTAACAGACTTACTGCGTTGTTGACCTTGTTTGAAGTTCGGTTACTGCACGACTCTTGCCTTGCCTTTGTTTCAGCAACAACGGACGGTCTATAGGCTGACGCTGGTGAAGGCGTGGAATGTGGATGAGCTCCAGGCCTATGTCCAGCTGGTGTCCCTCGGCAAGCCAGACTTCATTGAGGTCAAGGTAAGCCCAGCCGATCCCGGAATGCACTCTAACCTTGACCATGACCACCTGTGGCCGCTGTGGGGCTGCAGTTACCTAAGCTGCTTATGCAGGACCCAGGCATTTCATGCACTTGTTCTGAAATAGGCACTGAGGGCCTGGCACTGATCTAGGCATTTGGAAGAGAGCACAGATGGCTAAGTGCATGCTCCTACAGTCAGCAAAAAATGAGTAAATAAAGGTGACAAAGGAATGTTGATAGGTTGAAAAATAACAGTGTTAGAGTATTTCATTGGTTGGCCTAAAACATGGTATCAAAAACATTATGGAGGGAGCTCTGGTGGTCCAGTGGCAAGAAGCTGCACTGCAGTCCCAGAGGTGAGCGGTTCAAACGCACCAGATGTTCTGCTGGAGAAGGAGGGACAGTCTCCTCCTGTACCAGTCAGATCCGATTTGACGGTACATGCACACACACACATACACACACACAAAAGAATAAAATTAAATTAAAAAATTATGGGAGATTTCAAACATGTTGGAGAAGCGGAGAGAAGAATTGATCGGGCTTTGCACATGGCGGGCGCCTGCTGGTGGCTCGGTGCCCCTCCCAGGAGCCCATGTGGAGAGCCCTCTGCAGGCTGTTATCGGCCGCTGTCTTCGCAACGCCTTTCTCATTGATTGTGCTCTTATTATTTTGAAACAAACCCCAGTTATTCTCATCTATAACTATTTCAGTATCTATCTCTTAAAGGAAGGCATTCCTTTATTTTTTTTTATGATTTGAGTGAAAGTTTACAAAGCAAATTGGTATTTCATTCAATAATTTATACACGTTCTATTTCTTGACATTGATTCCAATCCTACATTGTAATAGCACTTTCCCCACTTCCTCCCGGTGTTTACTGTTCTCATTCAGCCTCTCCTAGGCCTTCCTGCTTCCTGAGCTTTTCTCACTGGGCAGCTGCTACCCTTCTGCTCTCCGGGGATTGATTGCTCTGGGGAGTCTGTCCTGTTGCTTCCTGGAGTTATCATCCACCTTATTGGTCTGTCTGTTGTTCAGCTGGACGTTGAGTTCAGGTCCAGGCTCAAAGCGTGACCAAAGGCCCTCGTTTTGGGGGTTCCACTAGTGTCTGCAGACTGGAAAGCCTGGTCTTTTTATGTGAACTCTGTTCCACATTCCCCCCCATCTCTGCCTGGGACCATCTGTTACCCCTTCCAGAGTGGTCAGAGGCGGCAGCTGGACGCCGTCTAGTTCAGGTCTTAGGGTCACAGAGTCTGAAGTTCATATAATCTGTTCTTTGGACATGTAGTCTGCTTTTCTATGCTCCTCATGGGGAGAGGCCAGTAGTTACTCCTGAGATGGCTGTTTGCAAGCTTTTCAGACCCCAGTCACCGTTCGTGAATGTAGCATGTGAACTGTGTCATGCCCGTTAACCTTGGTGGCCCTTGAGACTGTGGTCCTGAAGGCCAGGCCTAGCCGCTCATCCTCTCAAAGTGTTTGGTTCTGGCAAGATGTTTTCTCCTCTCATTCAAACTCACACGTTTTAAGTGAGAGAATAGATTGTTCCTGAAAGAGTGGGTGAAAAATGTAGAACAAATAGAATATCCAGAATTAAATGACTTAAAGACCACATCAAAGACTACAGGCTTCAGTGTGACTTATTCCTGTACAGCAAGGAATCAGAAAGCCTCTCACTGGGCCAGTAGGCAACACTGTGATAGACAGATGGAGAAAAGATTGAAGTTGTCAAGGATTTTGTTTTTCATAGATCCACAGTCAACACCCAAGGTAGCAGCAGTCAAAAAATCAAAAGACGTTAACCTGGGCAAATCCAGTGTCAACGCACTCTTTAAAATGCTAAAGAGCAAGTGTCATTTGAAAGATTAATGTTTGCCTGACCCAAGCCGTGGTATTTTCAATTGCCTCATAGGCATGTAAAAGTTGGACAAGGACTAGGAAGACTGAGGAAGACCTGATGCCTTTGAATTGTGATGCTGTCGAAGAATCTTGATTTAACCACAGACTGCCAACAGAACTAACCAGTCTGTCTTCAAAGATGTACAACCAGATGGTGATGCCTGGTCTTACATTCTCTGAGAAAGTTAGCAGGAGGTGTCAGTCCCTGGAGAAGAATATCATGCTTGGAAAAGGAGGAGGTTAGCCAAGAAACCAAGAGGAAGACCTGTGATGAGATGGATTAACCGGGACTCAGTGTCACACAGCGATGGGATGGCAGTGGGCAGGGTTTCGTTCTCGTGCAGATGCGGCTGCGGTGGGTCAGTTACATCAGTCACATGCGTCCACCACCTTTCATGTTTCACCCATGTTTCTTTGTGATAGATTCCTATTCATAGTTAAGGCGTAAATATATATTATTTTTCCAGAGATTGTGACTGGCTGTTTTATCAGGATGGCATTTCTGAGAACACGGCATTTTAAAAGTTGGTACCTAAATGATGACAAAAAAGAATAGTGACTCTACTGTGGACTGCCAGAGAGCACATAAATCTGTCTTAACAGAAAATGCAGCCAGATTCTAGAAGCAAGGATGGCGAGACTTCATCTCGAGTACTTTGGACACGTTATCAGGGCAAGGCAGGCCCCGGAGAAGGCTATCTTGCTTGGTAAAGCGGAGGGTCGGTGAGAGGAAGGTAGACCCTCAGTGAGGTGGGTTAGCACAGTGCCTGCAACAGGGGGCTCAGGGTGTGCTGGGCTGGGCAGTGTGTGTGCTCTTGCACGGGGTTGGAACCTCTTGATGACACCTAACAATATCAGACAGCAAGAAGCAACCTGGTGTGCAGAGGCTTGGGGTAAACGCATCCTGGGCAGAGAACACAGCTAGTGGAGAGGGCTTTAGACAAGCTTAATGGTACGTGATGAATCAGAGAGGGCGGCTAATGCCAGACAGGACTGGACATTTAAAGCCTCGTATACTAACACTCAAACCCATTGCTGTTGAGCTGAGGGCTATTTACTGCAATCCTCTAAGACCAGGAACAGTCTCACAGGGTTTCCACAAGTAAAACGGCACAAAAGCAGACTTTCTTATCTTTAGTAAGTTCACAGGAGGCTTTTAAGGGGTGGTCTGCCATGATCTATTTCATGATGTTAATGCACCACCCTGATGCCGTGTCATAGACAAGTTATAGAGGGCAGTGGTGGTGTAGGGAGAATCCCCAGTGGCACAGTGGGTAAGACATCTGACAGCTAATCCACAGGTTGGGGGTTTGAACCCAGTAGCCGCTCTGGGAGGCACACGGAGAAATCTGCCGCTGTAAAGTGTTATCACCTCTGAAGGCCCTTGTAGCAGTTCTGCCTTGAGCTGTAGGGTCAATGCCAGGGGGCCCGGTCAGTTTATATTTCTGTGTTACTGTTCTTGTAGGTGAAGGGCCAAGGCGAGCTCTCAGCACGGGTCCCATTTCATCTCCGGCCAGGTGGAAGACACTGTTTTCTGCTCCAAGTCCTGTTAATTTCTAAAAGCTCATCTTGGCAAGAGCCTTAGTGATGCAGAGATACAAATGACATCTGAAAGTCTGTGCTGCCGGCCCAAGAAAACCTGGCCAGCATCAAGGACTATGATGTTTTAATTTCTTACGCAGCTATTAAAGAAAGCTGCCTCAAATTATGTTGCAGTAAAACCTCTATTATCGTAAAGCAGCTTGGCCGACCTGGGGGAGGGTGTGGCAGTCGGCTTAGTGAAGACTGCCCTGGGAAAACCGGGGAGGCGGTTCACCTCTGTCCCGGGGTCACTCTGGGTCTGAAGAGATTGCACAGCAACAGGCTTCTGGGGTCTTTGGGGTTGGGTGACTGAATCATATGCCCAGTCAGTCACCTTTTAAAATGGTCTTTCTTTTAGGTTTTTAAGCTGTGTTTTCTATGCTTAACCAGGCATTTTCTAATCTGGAAAAAATTGCTTTATATTATTTTTTAGAGGAAATAGTGTCATTCTGACAGGTATTTTTTTATTGTGGCATTCATCGATGTTAAAGGGGGCTCTGGTGCCTGCGTCGGTGGGGTTGTGTTGCTGATCTGAAGGCCAAGCCTCTGGTGGTTCAGATCCTCAGGAGAAAGACAGTCTCCTCCCATGTGGTTTGTAACCTCGGAAACCAACGGAGGTTCAGCTCTGAATGGGTTCTGACTCCGTATCAGCTAAGAGAAAGGCATCAGTGTTCTTGTTGATCAGCGCCTGCGAGTCGTTTTCAGCTCATGGTGAGCCTCTGTGACAGGAAGACCTGCCTGTAGTGTTTCCTAGGCTGTGATCAAAGGGACAGACAGATCTTTTCTGCTCCAGATCTACTAGGCAAGTTTGAACCACTAACCTTTCAGTTTAGAGCTGAGAGCTTAACAATTTGTGTGACCACAGTTCCTTCGACTGTCAATATCATCACTGCCATACCACGGAGAATCAAGGCTGCGAGGGCACACACGCCGAGATCTGGTCCCAGCGCCCACTGGAAACTCAAGTGTGGGGGAGAACACCGCAGCTTTGAAGTCTGGCATGGTTACATGTCTTCTCTGAGCCTAAACGTCCTTGATTTTAAATTCGCGAGTCTACCAAGTTACCCTGCTTCAGAATTTGACGGGCACCCTGTGCCGGGGTTCAGTAAATGTTAGATCGCTTTCCCTGAAGCTTGTTTATTTTATCTAAATCAATAGAAACCATTCTTTGGTGATACTGACTTTCTCTTTTCTTTCATGGCTAATCTTGTAAACTTTTTTCCTTATTGTGTATTCTCTGTGAGTTAGCAGTACATTTTATCTTCGTTGTGGCTGAAATGAACTTTTATTTGCTAACTTGAGACGTTTCACTCTCATTATTGGCTTGCTTGTTTGTGAAAATGTGTTTCATGTTTCATCTGCCTTGTTGAAAACTTTGATCACACCATCCATTTGTAAATGAAACACTGTCTTTGTGCTCTCTGCCTTGAACTGCACCTTGAGAATAGTAAGTGCTCTGTAATTATTAGTTGTTGAGTGATTTCAAGCCGTGTCATGTTAGCGCTGTGACTGTCTGGACCATCACAGGATGCACCGGGCCCCCTCACAGGATGTACCCTGCAAAGTGATTGTCTTAGCAAAGCCTCGATCTCTTTCTCCAAGCTAAGATACAGGATGGTGTCACTTCTATGTGAGTTGTTGTTATTGTTGTTGCACTGTTTGCCCAGACCCTCCATCACCTTGTGTATCACAGAGCCACCCAAACCCCAAGTGCTCTGGTGAGAGGTCTAAGGTATGAGATTTACTGATACTGGCCCCAGGTGCAGTGGGGGGTTCTTAGATGGAGATTTGGGAGATGATGGAGATTGAGGTGACAGCGAGCCGCTGACTAGGACAGTCCGGCCCTCAGGACGCCGAGTATGGCCAGCGTCAGACCAGAGATGGCCTTGGCTCTGTGCTGGACCACTTGGCTCTTCCCCTGGGTGAACTGATGGCTGTGTGCTATCAAGTCAGAACCGAACCATAGCAGACCCTCTAGCAGGTTTTCAAAGGTAATAAATCACATGGAAGATTACCCACCCTTCTCCCATGGAGCAGCTGTGGATTTGTGTGTGCCTTTGGAATTTCAGCTCAGCTTCTTACCACAAGGCCATCAGTGAAGCTTTTCTTTTTTTTTTTATGATAAAGAAGTGACATATTTTGAGTGAATTTCTAGAAAATACTTGAAGTCAAGTTTTCTGTCTTAAAGTGGGTTCTGACCCATGGTGAGCCTCTGTCAGCGTTCAGGCTTGGACACCTTTACAGGAGACAGCCTGTCTTCATCCTGTGGAGTGGCAGGTGGATTTGAACCATTGACCTTTGACTTAGAAGCCTGACTTGTAATGCTCGGCACCAGGTCTCCAGTGTCAGTATTAGGAGTCATGGCCGATGACAGAGACCATGACCCCCTTCTGGAGCAGCGAGGTCCCGAGAGCCAGCTGTCACAGTGGTGTGGTCAGTCCGTCAGGGTGCCAGGGTGTGGACACGGTGTCGTCCTCTGGAAACAGGCCATGGTGTTGATCTCTTCCCGCAGCGCTTCAGCCTCTGCTCTCTCTCACCAGTCTGTCTCGGCTTTCCAGTTGCCACGTGGAATCATCTGTTTGTCAGCCTGCCTTCACTCACTCCATTTCCAAGCCAGATCTCCCCTTCCCACCTCCTGACTTGCCATTGCTGAATAAGAAATACTAAAATGTTTTCCAAAACCATGGTTGCAAGGACAAGCTTTCACAGAAAGTCTCTGTGCTCCACTGAGCTAACTTTTAAACGTTATTAACAGTAAGTTCCTTTGAATTAGCTGCTGCATAGATGGGTGTTTGTCTAACTCACATCCTACGCAATGTTGCAATCAAAGTCAAGTGCGTTTTTATGACTAATTTGGTCTGTCAAGCATTTCCCAGTTGGTTTGTTTTTTAATGCATTTGGGCGAGTTTAGCACAAATTATCAGCTGTGCTTTCTTAAAGGCTTTTTTAATTTTAGCTCAATTTCCTTTTTTTACTCCCCTAAAACATATACTCACCTTAATGAATTCAGTAAATCATTGGGCTAACAGAGAAGTTCCTCCTGTTTGTTGTCATTATGCCAGGTAGCCTGCCTTTTGTGTCCCACCAGGCCAGCGTGTCGTGGTGGACACTCGTCCCCGGGACAGCTGTCTGGACTGCGGTGCTGAGAGAGCGTGTCTGAGCCCGCCTGTGGGACCAGGAACACCATGAGCTCACTTGTGGGCTTTTTCGTGAAGCCAGTGTGTGTCTGTGTGTGCGCGTGCATGTACTTACACACGCATGCGTGTAAGGCCTTTTCATTTCAGTTCTTCTCTGTGTAGTGGAAACAGCTCTAGAACATTCTGTCCAGTTGCCAAGAAAACTTGATTCTGGAATATTTCAAGAGCAAGAGACAAGGTAGCCCTTCTTCCTAGAAAATAACCGTGGATCGCTGTGTAAATTACCAGGTAGAGAGCTTAGTGGTGAGAACCTTGGGTCTTCAGATGTCTGAGTCGTTGGTTGGGAATCAGAAGAATTGTGTTGTGCTGTAATGTACCATTGAGTTGGAACTGACTCATAGTTGATCCTCCAGTGACTTTTCAGGGCCTTGAAATCACGCAGGAGGAGATTGCCCCTCGTCCTCTCATGCCTCTGGGTCGGCAGTGCAGTTTCTTGCCATTAAGCTACCTGGGTTCTCCCTTCAGAAGAGTTAGAAGCCAGTTATCTTTTTTTTTTTCTATATTTTATTAATTTTCATAAACATTTACAGAGATTTTGGGTTTCCATTCATTCATTGTTGCACTATTCTCTCTACCCTCCTCCCAGTTTGTTCTTGTCCAAATGCCACAGTGCTTGTCAAAGCCAGTTCTGATTAATCTTCTTTGTCAGTGTGTCCTTTGCCATTCCCTATCACTCCTCCCTGAGAGAGACTTCACCCTGAGTCATAAGGAAAAGGGCACGGCGTATTCTCTTAGCTACTTCCTGCTGAAAAGGGACGCTGTGGGTTTCAGGGTGAAGATCTTCTCTCACTACTCTAAAGGGCCCCTTTGGCAGTAGGAAACACATAGACTATTATGGAGATTGATTTTGGAATTCAGATGCACTCTTATTGATTGTGCTTGGCCGTACATGTTCATATCCTTGAAGATGTATCATGGGGGTGTTGCAACCTAGAAGACACAAATTTGACTAACAAGTTATAAGTACATGAGTCCAAAAATTATGGAAAAGTAAAAGAAAAGATTCTTTCATTGTTTTACAAACCCTCCCCCAGGTCCCCTCCACCATGTAGCCCTCGCTCTAGTCTCCTGTGATGACAGAAATACCTAGTTATATATCTCTTTTAAACAGTTTTCTCCCTCCTCTGTTTCAGTGCAGTATACATTATTGAACCCATCTTACTCAGTCTCTCCCCAACCCCAAGGACAGTCCCATTCTACAACAGTGGCATCATGTAATATTTGTCCTTTTGTGACTGGGATATTTCACTCAGCATAATGTTCTCCAGAGTCAACCATTTTGAATAATATTGCATGAGTTCCTTGTTTTTTAATGCAGCATAGTATTCCATTGTGCGAATATACCACAGCTTCTCTAGCCATTCGTTTGTTAATCAGACTTTGCCAAAGACTCCGACGAGTGCTTGGAAGTGCTCTGCTCCAGATGGCCGTTCGTAGAGACGGCTGGTGAACGACGACAGGGTTAGGAATTTCTGTCTGTGCATGTGTTAATGTGTGTGTGTGTCATGGTGGTGTGATTCTGTGCGTGTCTTAGTTACCTGGGAGCTGTCAGGTGCTATTGGGTCACCCCTGGCTCACAGTGACCCTGTGTCCAGCAGGACGCACTGGCTGGTCCCCGCCCTCAAAGGCTGCTGCGTGTGAGCCTGTTGTGGCCTGCACCGTGTCAGTGCACCTGTGTGACGGTCTTCTTCACTGACTCGCCACCAGGCGTGATGTCCACCTCCAGGGGCTGGCCCCTGCTGGTAACAAGCTCAAGGTGTGTGACATGAAGCTTTGCCGTCCTTGCTTCTAAGGAACATTCTGCTTCACCTCCTCCCAGACAGGCTGCTTTCTTCTCTTGGTGGTCCATGGGGTGTTTAAAATCCTTTACCGACACACAGTTCAGAGGCACTTAATAATCTAGTGCTGCTGCGACAGGAATACCACAGGCGGGTGGTTTTAACAAACAGAAATTTGTTTTCTCACAGTTGAGGAGGCTGTGAGTTTGAATTCAGAGTACCCTGGTTAGTGTGTCTCTGTCTGTCTGTCTGTCTCTGTCTTTTCTCTCCTCTCTCTCCTCTCCCTCCCTGCCTCCCTTCCCGTCAGCTGTGGAGGAAGCTCCTTGTCTCTGAGCTACTGCTTCTGGACGAACTTCATGTGTTTGGCCATCTCTGCTCCTTCCCTGTATTTAATCTCATTTGTAACTCAAAAGGGATGGACCCAGTAACCTTGCACTAATCCTGCTCGTTGCTGTACCAAGACGCACCACTCTCCAGTGGGATTATATACAGAGCTGTAGTTGTTAATGTGGACCGTCAAGTCAGAACCAACTCATAGCTGACCCTCCAGCAGGTTTTCAGAGATGGTAGTTCACACGGGAGGAGACTGCCCATCTTTCTCCCGCAGAGCCCCTGGGAGATGTGACCTGTGTGCCTTTGGGTTGGCAGCACAGCTGACCACCAAGCCCAGTTAGGACATATATGCAGTATTCTGTGGCACACACAATTCAATCTGTCCCAGCATTTCTCTGTCTATAAAGGACAGGACTGAGTGAATTACTGTAAAGAATAGCATCAAAGAGACCCTTCGCTGGCTGTCTTTGTGGGGGGCGTTTGGTGATGGAATCCTGGGATTGTGTTCTAGTCACTGCATCACATGCAAAGCCACGACCCTGTGTTGGCAGAGGCTCCCATGCTGTTGGGATGTGGAGCAGATTTCAGTGGGACTCCAGACACAGATGGACTAGGAGGAAAGGCCTGATGAGCTGCCTCTTCAAATTGGGCATTGAGTAGCCTGTGGGGAGACACTCGCTCCTTGGAACAGTCGACCATACAAGAACAAAAGGGCATCATTTACCCCCCGATAAAGCTCAGAAAGCAGGAAGGCGAGAAGGAGACAGACTCACAGGCAGGGGAGAGTGCAGTAAAATGTGTCGTAATGACATAAAACAAACTGTGTCAGTGACTGCATGGAAAACCAGTCGGCCCCGTGAACCTTCACTCAAATCCCATTTTCCAGCGTGCAGGTCTGGGATCCCTCTCACGCCCTCATGTCCCCGCAGGGCGTGACCTATTGTGGAGAGAGTTCAGCCAGCAGCCTGACCATGGCCAACGTGCCCTGGCACGAGGAGGTGGTGCGCTTTGTGCGTGAGCTGGTGGACTTGCTCCCGGACTATGCCATCGCGTGTGAGCACGAGCACTCCAACTGCCTCCTGATCGCGCACACGAAGGTAAAGGGTCCTGCCGTGCTCTTCGCTTCGCCTCCCCTCCCGCCTTAGCCACCCCCCTACTCAGGCGCCCCCCAACCCCATGTTGCTCTGACCTCACTTGGCCCCGCGCTTTCCTCCCCTGTCCCCTGCGCTCCCCTTGGGGCCTCCCACACTCAGCCCCCTTACCCCACGTTGCTCTCATGTCAGTGGAGAGGTCTGCTTGGTTGCCACCTTTCCTAAAACAAACGTTCAGCACGTTCTGAGTTCTGTCTGCTGGGCCTGAGTTCTGTCTGTGGGGTTGCATCTTTCTTCCTTCCCAGCCAGACATCTCGAAGGTCTGGCTTGTTTTATGGTCACTGCGTGCTGGTACCTCTAGTTCTCGCCTGGAAGACCAGGGGAGTGCCGGCGGCTTCATCGGCGCCCTGAGAGCACGCCTGGCTGGCAGAATCAGCATTTCTCAGTTGAGGGTGCGCCCGAAGTGACACCCAGCTCCTGGAGAATTTTTGTCTGGGTCCTTGTTCATGATTAATTTTCTAACTTTACTGCATGCGTTAGAATAAGGACCCAGCTCCAGTGGATTTCTTACAGTAAATAATGCCTTCCAGAAGCTCTTTCTTCATGGAAGTAGAGCATTAAAATAAAGAATATGCCTAATTAGTCTGGGGCCTGATTCGCAAGAAGACAGGTGAGGAGTGCGTGGTGTCTGGGTGGGCTGTGGGCTGTGTAGTCTGCTGATGGGAGCTGGTGGTCTCTTGCACTGTTCTGTCTGGTTTGCTGTGCGGAGTCTCCATTGTAAAAGAGTTTGTTAAAAGTATGGTGTGACCGAGTTTGAGAACACTATGCTAAGTGAGCAAAGCCAGAAACAAGCGCAGGGGTTCTGATTCCATTTCTGGGGGATGTGTAGTTAAGCTCATCCTTATGGACATTGGTGCTTTGGGGGGGCAGAGGGAAATGAGATTTGGCTGTTGGTAGGTATGGGGCTGCAGCCTAGGGTGATGAAAATGGTCTGAAGGACAGAGAGAACGTAGAACTGTTTAATATGATGAAGATAGTTATGATCAAGCCGGACCAGCTCTTCTTACAGAAATTATTTTTATGCAAATACAGTCAACTTTAACTTGAACAGAAGACACCCGCTCTCTGCCGTCCAGTCACCTAAATGACTTCCTGTCTGGGAAAGCCAGCCCCTGTCCAGCTGTGCTGCCCAGTCCAAGTCTATCTGTCATCAATGCTCTGGCCCTCTGTTCGCCAGCGCGTCCTTCTGTGACCCCCCTAGTCCCCCGAACCAGGCTCTGAGCAGATTCACAAATTCAAGGGCATAGTCCCCAGACCACCAAGCTGGCGGAGACCTCAGACCCATGGCACAAACTTGGGGAGTCCCCATGGCACCCTGGCTTCTCACCTGTTGGTTACTGATTAGGCATTTTTCTCACCACCCACTCTGGATGGCAGCTGTTAGTGTAAGAGTTTCCTGCACCCCTCAGCAGAGGGGTGAGCTTGGCTGTGAGCTCTGAAGCCCAGGTCCCTCCTCCTCTCCTGCTGCTTCCCAATGCTCCCTTGGCTTTGATGGTCAAGAGAATGACTCATAGAAAGTGCCGTACTTACAATGACAGTTTCCTTATAGCAAAAGGGGAAAAGGAAGAGAGGCATTGACGAGGCTTGGGAGGGTCCCAGCTTCCATGGTTATATCTTACAAGAAGGAAAAGAAAGTGTCAACCACAGAAAGAAACCCTTCTGCCAGTAAAGCTGCATAGTGGACATGTCAGTATGAAGTTTCTTTGAGCTTCATGCCAAGAATGTTGTCTTAAAAATTCTCTGTATTGAGGTCTCACTGGCACCTACTCTTTTTTATTTTGTTCATTTTCTTGTCTAAACTATCAATAGTAGATTTTTTTAAGCTACATTATTCTCTTAATTTTTTTCCACAGAGAATATTCCATTTATTATACAATTCATGGTCTTGTGGATGTGTTCCACGTAATACATTTGTCAGCATGGTAATTTCACTGGGGCAAAACTTACCATCAGTAACACTTGAATTTAACTTGTCACATGCTTCCAGTGGCGACCAGTGGTCAGGTGCCTCACTGTCACAGACTTGAAGTCTCTCATTTTTTATATCTACGTATAGGTTAATTTTAAGGTGTGATTTTCTAAAACATGAAGGGCGTGTTTAGACTGAATGTTTGCCGTCTGTCCACTCCCAGGTTTGTAGTGCTTTGGCTTTGTTGTTTACTCCAGGAGACAGTGTCTCGTTGGCCAGGTTCCCCATGTTAATGGGATGACCCGTCCTGTGGTCAGCAGTGTGCTCTGTGGCAGTAGCATTCACGAGTACTTCACGGGTCAGAGGAGGACATTTTCCCTGAGGAAGGCCTGCTAGGGCTGTGCAGTGCCCGAGGCCTCGGTCACGGCTCGGGGGCCCAGACAAGAAGGGGCTGTGTTGCTGCGTGATGAAGTGCAGTGGTGCGAAGCAGCAGTCCAGCAATGTTCCTGAGATTTTAAACTGACCATCGAGTGAAAGGTCAACTCTCCTCGTGACCTGCATGTCCCGCTGGGGTCGGACAGCGTGCAGAGCTCACACAGCGTCAGGCCTTCCATCCTGTCATACCTGCTGCTGTAGTCCGCAGATGTGGCCTGATTGCTGGGCAGCCCATCAGCGGGGTACACGCGTCAAGTGTGTCTTCTTAAAAAAGGTATTTGCAATGAGTAAATCCTTGAGCGTACAAAATTCAGTAATTTTATTTCCAGCCTAGTTTCTATCACCAAATGCATACTGTCTGACTGCCAGTCCTTCTTCATTGTTTTCCAGCTTTTGCATTCTAGTCACCAGTTATTAGTAATGCATCTTGATTGAATGTTTGGTCAATTTTGGATTGCAAGATTCAGCAAAAATGTTTTATTTCTGCCTCTTTTGCTTTAGTTGTGGTGGTGATGTTATGTGCCGTCGAGTCACCTGTGACTCATAGCGACCCTGTGTACTGTAGCCCTACACTGTGCTCTATCCTGTGCCAGTCGCACTGTCTCCGACACACCTACCCCAATTGTCCCATTTACTGAGTCAGTCCATCTCATAGAGGGTCTTCCTCTCCTGCATTGTCCCTCCACCCTCCCAAGCATGACGTCCTTCTCCAAGGATTGGTCCCTCCTTGCAACATGTCCAGAGTATTTCAGATGAAGTTTCAGAATCCTTGTCTCCAAGGAGTAGCTTGGTTTAACGCTCTGTTGGATGAATCTGTTTGTTTTCTTGGCAGTCCATGGTACATTCAATCCTCTTCTCCAGCACCACAGCTCAAAGGCATCAATTCTCCTTCTATTCTCCTTGGTCATTGTCCAGCTCTCTGACGTATAGCGAGGAGTATATATATTAACAGGTCTTCCTTTTATGCGTATGGATAATAATCCTGTCACAACATTGTACTTCCAAGTTAGAACTTTAAACTGTCTTTTTACCTATGAATGCAATATCATTTTTCTGATTTTCATCCCCAGCACAATATGCTGTATTTTATATGTGTGTATATATGTATGTATATGTATATATGTATGTATATGTGTATATATGTATGTATGTGTGTATATATAGAATATGTGTATATATATGTGTGTGTGTTTGTGTGTGTGTGTGTGTGTGTATATATATATAATATTGGAAGCAGGAGTGGCATCCTCTGGAAAACTCTGTGAACTTTGATAAATGTCGATAGTTGTAGAGGGGCTTGAGGCCTTTTATTCACAGGGTCACTATGAGTCGTGCTCGACTCAAAGGCAATCAACAACAACAACAAAATATATAAAGTTTTTTTACCTCCAGGTTCCCCTCACCCCCAAATTGTTTACATTTTCTGCTTTTATTCTGAGTCATTCTCTTACTATGACTTTTGAGAAGCAGTTTTCTTAAGAGTACAAATTGAATTATTTCCCTTTATTGAATTGGAATTCTTAATCAGGCTTTTAACTAATTAGGCATTACAACCATGCTTGACTAAAAAAAAAGTCTATTTTAAGTCATTTAGTGAACATTGTAGAATGAGAAGTCATTGATTAAAAGGTCACCCAAAACACAAGGGTTTTGTAATGAAAAGGACTTTTTTATCCCACCGTCGTCATTCGGCGCCGTCAGGTTGGCTCCGGCCCAGCCACGTTCTGTTCTACCAGGGGTGAACGCAACTGTGCGAATCCTTACCGGGTAGAAGACAGCAGCAACCAGAGTGAGCAGTGATTCGGCCGTTAACAAGGCTTGTGCTCCTGACCCACAAGCCTTGCTTCTCTGCCAGTTCAAATCCACAGGCCGCTTCACGGGAGGAGAGTGAGGCAGCCTCCTCCTGTTCCGTGGGGATTCACCAGCAGCGAAGGCCAGTGGGCGTCGAGTGAGTGACAAGCCAGTAGTGCACAATAATACCCCAAAATAAAGCTCTGTGCCCCTGATCCAAGGGAGCCCTGGTGGCACAGAGGTTAGGCGCTCACTTGCCAACCAGAAGATTGGCAAGCAACCCCACCAACTGCTCTGCAGGAGAAAGATGCTGCAGAGACAGCTTTCGTGAAGACCGTAACCTCGGAACCCTCTAAGGACAGTTGTGCCCTTCTGCCCCACAGGACTGTCTTACAGACGTGGAATCACCTTGACAGCAGTGCGTTCTGGATAGCTGACATTGTTCAAGAGAAATTTGACTTCCGATTTCAGGGAGAATTCTCCATCTCGCCGCTGACCTTCCACATCCAGCCCCAGGAAAGAAGATGCTGACCTTCGTGCACCTGTCTTGCTTTGCTGTGGTGCTGGAGGAGGGAGAGTGTTCCCTGGCTTGATAGATAGAAGACACCTGGCTCACTTAGATTTTTTTAATTTATTTGATCTTTTCTCTATGGGTGTTTTTGTGCTGCTGAGACCTTTTTGCTTCTGACCTGACTTTTTTTTCCCTCTCCCCCTTTCTTCTTTCCAGTTTAAGATCGGTAGAGAATGGTGGACTTGGATCGATTACGGCCGCTTCCAGGAGCTCATCCAAGAATATGAAGATAGTGGCGGATCAAAAACTTTCAGCGCCGAGGATTACATGGCCAGAACGCCGCAGTGGGCACTGTTTGGTGCCCAGGAAAGAGGCTTTGATCCCAAGGACTCGAGATATCAGAGAAAGAACAGATCAAAGGATATTTCTGGATGTTGAGATGATTTGCCTTGAGGCTGCTGAAGGACACAGGTTCAATGGCCTAGAAAGTTCTGGGGCTTCACTGTGATTTTTCTAAGGATGCCTCCCACAGATTCTGTTTCCCACCAAGAAGACTCTACAGTCAAACATGGGGACGTGGGCCTTGCTATTGGGAGAGGCCAATTCCCTCAGGGGTTCTTTCCAGAGCCTAACCTCGTTCTGATTATATATATATAGTTTTGTACTGTCAAATCTGGCAGATTTGAACCACATACCTTTGGGATTACAGTGCAGCTTTTTGCCACTAGGCCACCAGAGCTCCCTTCCTGATTATATTTTGAAAAGAAAATGGCTTGTATTTTTTTCTTTTTTTAGAGTCCTTCATCATTATTAAAATTGAATCAATAGTTTTGAATTATAATTATCAGATTTCTGGACTGCTGTTCATGAGATGGCCCCATGGGAAAGACTAGTGGCCTTTTGGGGCCAGCTCTTCAAGTTACTCCCTCCTTCAACAATGTGCCCTTTTCCTTTAAGATCTGAACACCATCCCTTCCTTGTGTCTTAACCTCGTATCTCCTGAACATGATTTAGGGTGTCATAATTGTCAGGTTTTTTTATGTACTGCTCAGAAGACTTGGAGTTTGCTGCTTAGGACCAGCCTATTAGGAAACGGCATCGTGTTGAAGCCACTCAGATCACCACCTAATGACCACGGAGCTACTGTGTGGTTGATGCAGAGCAGCACCCTCCTGTGAGAGGCTCGGCGGAATGGTGGCAACTCCCCAGCGAACTCTGAAATAAGGAGTCTGAATGTCAAGCATTCAGCTTCAAGGCCTCTTGTCCTGCAGGCCCCCCATCTCCCTTCACAGCCTCTTGCCCTGCAGGCGCCCATCTGCCTTCATGGCCTCTCGTCCTGCAGGCCCCCATCTCCCTTCATGGCCTCTCGTCCTGAAGGCCCCCGTCTCCCTTCAAGG